CTGCGGGGAGCTATGCAAAAAACGCATCTTCGCACGGGCAGCCCGTGCGTTGGCCAATTATTTTTTTTTTTTTTTTGCAGTGAAATTCAGCATTCGCGTTCGCAGAACTTGCTTGATGCTGTTAGTACAATAAAGAAGAATGGTAATGTGGCGCTGAAGGGCGCAATTCAGGAGGCTGAAACGCCGGCATCTTTCTCTCGCGTTAGCGAGGATATCAACAAAGCACTGAAGAAGGAGCTTGACCTCTTTGCAAGTGTTGCCCATATAAAGGTCTGGTCATTTTCACAGCGTTCGAGTGCTTTGATCTTAAAAATTTGTGCTTTTTTTAAAACTGCAGGTTCTCTTTTTTGTGGTTTTCCCCTTAAAAATGTCTGTACTTGAGATTATACTTGTTTATTGGGCGGTTTTTTTAAATCGTGTCTATTTCCTACAGCATTTTCAGTATAACCGCATTTTTATTTTTTCAGTCGCTAGTGCGATCAAGATTTTGAGTTACTTATTCGAAAAGCTTGAAATTCCTTCAAATTTAACTTTTATGCGTTTTTTGCATCTGCGCAGTGCAAAACTAATCGAGCGGTTGTTTGTTTGTGTATCTGTGTGCTTGTTTTTACCGATTTTTCACCTCGAGACTTACAGAAGGTACAAGGGTGAAACTTTGGGGACTTAAACTACATGTACATACGGGTCCCAGTCCCCAAAATGGGCGCTATTACCCACATGGTTCCCACGTATGAGCTCCTAAAAGTTTTTGGTGGTTAAGCCGCCCGAGGTCCAGAAAAACTAACCCGAGGTCCAGAAAAACTAGAAAGCTGAAATTTTAACGTGATGTTCCCCGTCCACGTAGTTTCCAATGATTTCGTGTCCAGCCCTTAGACATGCGTGGTTCCCACGTACAGGCTTATGAAAATTTTTTGCGGGCAAGTTGTTAACTCGGCTAGAAGACTGAAATTTTAAGGGCATATTTTCAGACAGACCTGATGGCCAGTCTCAATCTCTAAGCTAGAAAATCTGCCGGAAAAACAGTGTCGTTAGCGACAAAAACCTGCGGGGAACTATGCAAAAAAAAATCTTCGCACCGGCAGTCGGTGCGCTGGCCATTTATTTCCCCTGAATCATCTTCTTGCTGAGTTATTCAAAACTCCCTCCACAGCTTATTTTCTGTGTTGGGTGATGACACTCCCTCTTCAGACCCAGATATGCATGTTTTCAACATATGATTCAATTTCGTGTATCTTTTAGAGTTTGAAGGGTATCAAAACGCGTCATAAAAAGGAGCTCGATTTTATCATTGTTCGGGAGCAAACGGAAGGCGAGTATTCCTCGTTGGAGCACGAGCTCGTGCCCGGCGTTGTTGAATGCCTCAAAATTTCTACCGAAGCAAAGTCGCGTCGTATAGCCAAATTTGCATTCGATTACGCCATAAAGTATGGCCGTCGCAAAGTTACCGCTGTTCACAAGGCAAACATCATGAAACTGGGCGACGGATTGTTCCTGAGAGTTTGTGAAGAGGTTACTTCTCAATCATTTCTAGAAAAGTGCATTTCACAAACTCGAAACTATTGCCCCACATACATTGCACTTACTTTAATGACTTTGGTCATGATGACAGGCGGCCCTGCTCGCCAGCTGAGAAGTACACTTCGATTCAGCCGATGATCTGTTTAGAACAGGCATGGGCAACCTTTGGTGACACTCGGACCTGATTTACATACTTACTTGAGCTTAAGGACTGTGTTTTAGTAGAACCTAGGTAACACGCACCAGCTTTGCTCGTGCGATCATATGTTTTTGCGCTAAATTTGACGCAGCCAGATCGTTAGTAGTATCAATGGTTATTTTGCTTTACAGTTTAACATGTGCAACTCATGTGCCTGTGTTTTGGTCTTTTCTTGCCCGCCAAGGAAATGTGCATATTTTTTTCGGGGTTCCATGCGCGAAATCTAGGGCGTTTGAGGAAGTATTTAACAGAAGAAGAGGATGACGCGTGGGATGGGAATATGTCTTCAAAATTTCAGTCTTCCAGCTTTCGTGGTTGTGAGTTTAAAGTGGGTGATAAAGTTCACTGGCTTCCGAACACAAGCACACGCGAGTGCACGTACACATACAATTACGGACTATCCATCGACAATATACGTTTTTGCTAATACTCTAGCAAAAAAGCATACAAATAAACAACGAGGGTAAATATGAACTTTGGGCTTGAATTTTTGACACAAAATTGTTGAAATCTGGATCACTTATACAGAGTCTCAAAGTATTTTCCATATTGTCTTCTATTAGCTTCATGCGTATTTTAGTTTTATTTATTTTCAGTTTTATTATGCATTTTTGCTGTGCAGCGCTATAGCGCTGCTACAGCCAGCAAAAACGCATATTGTCG